GTAACTCATGAAAAAACAAAAGGATTTTCATGACATTTGATATGAATATCTTACCACTAAAAGCCAGGGCCAGAGAAGTGAGACGGAGCCCGGACCACTGGACACACAATTTAGCAAGCATTTACGAGTTATTAAGGAATTTGTGATATACAGGGTGTCCCAGGAGGAATGTGCCAAACTTCGGGAGGGTGTTCCTTATGTTAAAGTATGCCGATATAACCCAAAACACCTATGTCCAAAGTTGAACGGTTACGGAGATAATGGCCAGAGAAGTGTCAAACTTTGACCGGGGTTACACACTTGTTGATTACAAAATAGATATTAAAACTGGCAGGAATATGTGGATTCTGTAACGTTAATAATGTACGTAACATCAAACTAACTTGTGAGTGACATGAAGCCATAAAATTGAAGTACAAAAAACTCGCATGCCATCTCAAAGTTGTCGTTAAGAGTTCCAAGCACTGTACATGACACATGAATGGTAAGCGATGACGTAACGTGCTGACTGCGCGTTCTGATAAAGCCAACTCCATAAGCACGGATAGGATGAATCACGGCAGTCAAGGACAAACAGAGATAATTCCTCTCAGCTGATAGGTATAATCCGTGGACCCGCTAGAAGACCACACTTTTCTCGGGCCATTATCTCCGTAACCGTTCAACTTTGGACATAGGTGTTTTGGGTTATATCGGCATACTTTAACATAAGGAACACCCTCCCGAAGTTTGGCACATTCCTCCTGGGACATCCTGTATATATATCACTAATATTTTAACACGATAAAACCAACATCCTACCGCATGAGTGAAAGAGCATGCGCGTACAAGGCACTGATTCTACCTACATAGCGTGCCTGTAGAACTGACACAAGGCACTGATGAATTTGTGGTTTAGGTTTCATCGCTGAAGGACCCCTCTTACCCCCTTTACATATTACATTTCCAGTATCACATTTAAAATTCGCTTGAGCAGTTGAAGATATATGAGAGGATGGCAAAAGACTCGTCGCGTGTCTTTGCAGTTGGCCAAAACCCGCATACAAAGTGACAGTGAAGAATTCACTCATATTTCATTCTTTTGGGAACTTTAGTAACTACTAGCGACAGGGCAAAACGTGGCTCAAGAGCAAAACAATATGAAGGAGGAGGAAGTGAAGGAATTGTTGGAAGGAAAATGAAAATGCGCGAAGAAAATTAATCTTAGTCAAGGAATACAAAAATGGAACCAGACACTGGAAACGAACATGAGACGAGAAATGAATGAGATAAAATGAAATGAGGCCGGTCACGGTATCCGAGCGGTCTAAGGCATGTACTCTCTTCGCTCGCTTGGAAACCGGGATCGTGGGTTCAAATCCCACTCAGGGCATGGATGTTTAGTTTGTGTGTGTAGGTTTTTCTGTATTTGTGCACAGGTAGAGGTCTTGCGACGAGCTGATCACCCGCCCAAGGAGTCCTACCGAATGTGTAAGATCTAGAAAAATCGAAGTGAACGGAGAAGTTCATGGAGGTAGGCCTAGGCCCACTGGGGCTGTAGTTCCAAGGGAAAAAAATATATATACCAAGTAAGCCGGTCACGGTAGCCGAGCGGTCTAAGGCATGTACTCTCTTCGCTCGCTTGGAAACCGGGATCGTGGGTTCGAATCCCACTCAGGGCATGGATGTTTAGTTTGTGTGTGTAGGTTTTTCTGTATTTGTGCACAGGTAGAGGTCTTGCGACGAGCTGATCACCCGCCCAAGGAGTCCTACCGAATGTGTAAGATCTAGAAAAATCGAAGTGAACGGAGAAGTTCATGGAGGTAGGCCTAGGCCCACTGGGGCTGTAGTTCCAAGGGAAAAAAATATATATACCAAGTAAGCCGGTCACGGTAGCCGAGCGGTCTAAGGCATGTACTCTCTTCGCTCGCTTGGAAACCGGGATCGTGGGTTCGAATCCCACTCAGGGCATGGATGTTTAGTTTGTGTGTGTACGTTTTTCTGTGTTTGTATACAGGTAGAGGCCTTGCGACGAGCTGATCACCGGCCCAAGGAGTCCTACAGAATGTGTAAGATCTAGAAAAACCGAAGTGAACGGAGAAGTTCATTGAGGTAGGCCTAGGCCCACTGGGGCTGTAGTGCCAAGGGAAAGAAAAAATGAAATTAATTTGTCGCTAAACTGAAAAGCAGTTTCCTTTGTTGAATACATGGCTGTGTAATGGGCCGAGATATTAACCCTGACTTCTCATCGCGGACCTTTGTGTTCAGTCAGTGGTGACGACAGGCGAGATCCGTGGAAGATTAAATGGTTTTACAGCAGGGCTCTCTGCGTTCAGTTTTTCTCTGCTGTTCATTATTCCATCATTACCCAACACTCGTCTATCATTGTCCCTTGATTGGTGCGCTAAACGTGACCAGGCAACACATTATGACGTCTTTGAGATACTCAACCTCTGATGTGTTAATACTGTATATATGTGAGTTTTCGTTTTACCTGTCAAACAGAAGAACAGCAAACACCAAGTAACTCACTCACATTCCACTGAGCTTATCTGAGTTCTCTGGTTGTACAGCGTCGCTACGTGTTTCGGCTCATGGGGCCATCATCAGGTGATACATAAAGGTTAGAGACTGTTCATGTGCATTGCTGATTTCTCGACTGATCTCGTAAGTTAGGATATTATCGATTTTTTTNCTCACTTTTACTATTCACCGTTATGTTTATAAATTAAGTGGTTCTATAATGAACCTAAACTTGTTTAAAATTTAAACTTATTAAAATCTTAAAATATTAACAATATGTCAAAATTTTAATATTATTAAAATGTTAAAATATTAGACTTATAGAAATATCATATTCTGGATATTTCCTCACCCTCAGTTTAAATAAGGTCGTGTTGGGCTTGTTATTAAGTTCATGGAGGTAGGCCTAGGCCCACTGGGGCTGTAGTGCCGAGGGAGGGAGGGAGGGAGGGAGGGTTTGTTATTATTCGTGACTAATTTCGATTTTGGTTATTGCCTTGACTCGACAATGTTGTGTACATGATGTAACTGTCTTCTCTTAAGTAGATTATAATGTCAATGTTTGGTATTCGGTCGTAGTTGGGTATGTTGTGTTATTGAATATATAATCTTTATCCAAGCTTAAGTCGTTACGTCTCCCACTTGTCGCTTGGGATTCTACAAGTGATAGTTAAGACGAGAGAGTTCCGCGTGAGCGAGCTTGATGAATTTGACAAGACATTTTTTTAAAATTCGCTTAGTGAGTGGTGGAGTCCAACTGGGTCCACTCGGCACGGCGGCCACTGATTGGCCTACTGTACCTGCCCCGGGTGATTATGATGATGGAGAATTTGGTGGAATGAAGATTGGCAAGGGAAACTGAAATACTCGGAGGAAACCTGCCCCAGCGGCACTTTGTCCACCACAAATCCCACTTGACCAGACCCCGGGATACAACCCGGGCCGCCGCGGTGGGAAGCCAGCGACTAACCGCTTGAGCTATGGCGCGGCCTTGATAAGAAGTTTAGTTTTCGACGGAATAGTAACGGAACAATGTGCAAGCTCAGTGGAGAATTCGCATAACCATAGTATTCATTTTTCTAAATACCAGAAATTCGTACTGTTCGCTGTGTTCAAGTGATAGTGTGATACCTAACTCCCGGCGAGCGCTTCCCATCTCGGTTTCTAAAGCAACCAGTGTTCCACAGAGAGAAGATCTCATGACCACCGAGCAGTCGTAGCGGGCATAACGACTCTACTGAGGAAGGCGAGAACCACCAGAGTCAACACCAGTAAGAGTTCCAGTGTCTGGTGCCATTGGTGCACTTGACATGGCCTCAAGTGACATGATATTGGTCGGGTCAGGCATTCAATTATTATTAAAATTTTGAGAGGCTTCAATGCTGGTATTATGAATTGCGCCATTCAGATGGGCCCAGTTGCCATGACACATTCCAAGTTTCATGAAGACTGGTTGAGGTATTCAAAAGTTGGTTAAAGTGATACACTAACAGACACAGCCAACAAGGTGATCTCATGAGCTTATTTATACAATTGAAATTTTACAACATTTGGATTGTGATTCAGAAAGAGGGACACTTTTGAAAGGTTTCAGATTAGTATCTGTATCCACACTGCTATACTCTTGGCCCTTCTGAGAGCCGAACTGAGACAGATGGTGAAATAAGGTTTGTAAGAGTTCCTGAAAGATGTGGGACCATCAGAGAAATCAGAGAAGGAAATACATTTGGCATCCTAAGTTAAATGGTTAAATACAGTCGCAACAACCGTGTGCGTGGAGAGCGCATGCGCGCGCCTCTCTTTCTCGACTATTCTAGACTCATCCTCTCCCATTCCCTTCGACTTCCTGATTCTTGTAGAACCGCCCAACCCACACCAACGGCCTAAAATTACGGGAAAACCACTAGAAGCTTCTAGAAAACCTTGCCTATAGAAACAAGGTTGTGACTTTGGCAAATCGGAGATTCACATCCAGAGTTTCGTAGCTGCTTACGGCCGTCGAGTGTGGAGAGTCGGACATGAACCAGAGCGTGCTGTGAACAGCAAGCTTACTGAGGGAGCAGTACTGGGAAGTCGGGAAGAAGCTCAGAGAATAAAACTATGAGAGATTCTACTGAAATGGAATGAGAGATGATGGAACGGGCCGATAATGTCCAATGGTACGTTTTGCAGAGCTGTGCGTTACCACTAATGTGTGATGGAACATAATATAGAGTAGATCTTATTTCCAGTGCTTTGTTAGAAGTGTATCGATAATACATAAAACATTCAGTCAAAGAAAAGTAAGTAAGTTCTCGTTATCATCCTTCTGGAAATTCTACTTTCTTGTATTTAGCATCTTCGAGCTTCATATTTGGAAAATTCTTTTTAAGACGACTTTTCTGGGCACAGTCAGGCTTCTGCAATAACAAGGTACATATGGCAACACATCTCCAAGTTGGATGAAACCAAAGAATATATATCAAGAAAAGCTAACTCAAGTGACCACTGTGTCCTACCTGGAGCTGTGGTGCTGACGGAAGTTGCCACGAACGTCTTGTTCAGCATCAGCCAGCACTCCTCCTTGCGCTCCAGCAACATTTTGTCCAGCGGCGAGACCGTATCCGAGATGTTCTGCAGTATCTGCAATTCCATAACAAGTTCATTTACTGTCGTTACGAGGTCTGTACAGCACAAATATCGACTCTGTTTTTATTTTTCTAGGAACATCTGATTATAAAGGAATCTTTAAAACTCAAACTTCAGTTCCAAGGAAAATTTCCGTTAAGAAATAACACCTTCATGTTAGAAAAAGACTACATTGTACCATAAGAATGCCGACGTAAGGCACTGAACGCAATGAGTGACTCTGAACGAGCGTGCGGTAAACTACAGTACCACAGCAGAGGGACTGTTTCGCTTCCACATTCTTTCGTAAGCAGATACAAAATCGCATGTTAACCTTCAGTTTCCACTATTGTGCTCTATTTTTTGCTCATTTATCACTTGTCTATTTTATTAAGTATGATCTGAGATCCTCACAGCATCGGTTATGAAGAATTCCCTCTTCTGGAATACAACGTTGTGTAGATCGCTCAAAGATAGCGGATGTTTCAGAGAAGAATTTCGCTTCCATATTCAGTGTCAAGGAGTATACAAAGCAAGAAACCAGCATGAAACAAGTAACAAGCTTGTTCTTCGACACTGAATATTGATTCGACAGATAGGCGAACAGACAAGCGGGCAGACGACCAGACGGACACGTGGATAGAGAGATAGCTAGATAGAACTATCCTTTTTATTAAAAGTTATTGCTTACGATATCAACAAACACATTATACTTCTGTTATCTTCACTATTAATAGCAGTCAAATAATTAAATTCAGTGAATCATAATGCAGGGAATTTTCAAAATAGTAACGCCACTCTTCCTTTTAAAAGCTTGTTTCCAAATAGCTAATCTTATAAAAGTTATAAATTGAAAATTATAGAGTTACATGACTGCGTACACGCTGCTCCCTTAAACTGATCCAGTCCACATTCAAAGTTACCGCACGTAACCACGTACATTTTAACATGAAAATGTTTAATCTAAGATTTGTTTGTACGAATATAGGCCTGTGCATGTGTGCACGTAGTGCGTTCTTGCAGGCTGGTGCGGAGGTCATTATATAGGTATACTCTAAGTGCTTCAGTCGGCCCTACATTTGGAGACTGGCAACATAATCCCGGGAGGAACTCGATACTGCATCAGACCTAACCAAAAGTGTAAAGTTATCAGGACTAATCTGTAAAGAAAAAACCAAGAATAAACTTTGAATGTGAATGATCACCAGCGGATGCTCACAGTGAAGGCAGACGTACACACGTCCATTATAATTAACGTAACACAAAATGAGATTGGCGGATTTCATGGTGAAGTCTATTAAATTTACTTTCCTCCGTGATGTGACACCGAGTAGTCTGGTAGATCGCTACGAGCTCTTCGTAGAAACCTCCTGACTCCATCCTTCACCCTTAAGATTGAGGGAAAGGCTCCCGGCATATACTAGGTAACGCTCAGCAGGCTACAGAATGTTACACTACAGAAGAATTTAATGTTTATAGTGAAAAAAATCTATATATTCCTCTACAGCCCTTTGTTGGACCAGTTTCTTTATCTTTTACACAGTCGGTAGGACCGCTTGGACGGGGGATCAGCCAGTCTCAAGGCCGCTACCTGAACACACAGGACAACATAAACACAGAATATACTCATATAGACATCCATGCCCGGAGTGGGACTGGAACCCACGATCCTAATGTTTGAATGGGGCGAAGACAGTTCATTGCTTAGACTACACGGCCACCGTGATCGGTTACAATATAAGATGACATATAAAAATCTCCTGTGGAACATTAGCATCTAGCCTACAATAAATTAATTTACCGTGTTAAGTTCCTTATAACACTCGCTCGCATGGTATAAATTGCATAGCAGCAAGAAGAATCGTTTGAGTTCAGAATCACGGAATCTGATTCACAGAAGTCGCTCAGCTGAAATCCGTGTGACGAGTGATGATAGTCCCGCCGCGCCACTCATCTCCATTCTCATATCTTAGACACGCGAGAATCAGAATACGAAATTTTATATGACTCGTTAATCAAACTGTAGGTCTTCATTCGGTTGGCCTTTATTCAGATACAGGGGGTTCTCATATATTACTCTAGGGACCACAGAACTGGTATGTCAGGCGTCGGCGCATCCGACCAGCATCTCTGGGCCATTCCACTGGTTACTAGAGGATAATTTCGTTTCTAAATCGGGGAAAAAGGTTCCATTTCCTTTGTGAGCCAAACAGAGTGAAAACCGGTCTACCTTTAATTGCAGCAATAAGGGGTCTCAGGAGGAACTGATGGCGCTTAAACGTGCGTGGAAATTACGCCTGAAGTTCACATGACAGCAACTACGATGTGCTATTCCAGGACTCTGATTAATGTATCTGACATTAAAGAAAGCCGATTTTCCTGTATCTTAAATGGAACCAGATGGGCACTGAACCGATTCCCTACGTGTACAACATTTATAATTTATGTTTTAAAATATTTGACAAAATTTTTACCTGAATAAGATCTTGTTAAGAGCAAAACGTGTCGTGAAGCTCACTGTAACATCTAAAAAGTGAAGACAGTGTCACGATGTACTCCAGCGTTGCAGCGGGTAGGTTTATGCTTTACTGCCACAAAAGCCACGGTCCGATACGCAATGAGTTATCAGTTATAATCGTCTAAGTCGATTTTAATATATTTACTCCAATATTATATTTAAGCATCCTCTTACACTCACACAATATATATGAGACAAACTCCGTCTTAAGTGCAACAATTTTATTGTAGTTCTTTCTTCTTCCCTTCCTCCACACTACATGTTTCGGCCCTAAATGGCCATCATCAGGTGTGTATTGTTACGTAGCTGCTACACTGCCCGTAGTTTAAAATTT